CTCAGAGATTGACAGCCTGGTAAGAGGAGAAAATGCAGCACTCTTGATTTGAAAGTAAATAGACCACCTTAGAATCTCTGAAATTGTCAGGAGGCTTTGTGAAGACATTCTTATGCTGGCAACTGCGAGTCCATCTGTTGTTTTAATTTGTCTCTCTAATAATTCCCCGGAGTTGCACTTGGTTTGAATATTGGCGAAAACAGAAATGAATCAGGTTCTTTTCTTTTAATATTAATCCAAAAATTCAGTGTGGTATATTAATCATCACCTATATCCCTTCAAGGTTGTTTGATTTCATTAACCTTTACAATATCCCAATTAAATACAAGTATATTCATTTTGTCATTCATACTTGATTTCTTTAGGTAATCAAACTATGCAATTTTCCGTGATTCTTTTTATGTGAACACCATTGCAATTTGTAGAATGTTTTTTCTTTTAAAACAATGTCACATATCTAAATAATATAGCAGTATAAAATATTTGTTCTTTATTGAAGAAAAGGAAGCATCCATTTTCTTTTACATGTTTTCTAATTTGACAGACAATCTTCAGTATATCTAATAATTTCAAAAGATCATTTTGTTGTGCTTCATTACTATATCTTGTAATTTGGAAAATGATACGTGGTATACTGAAAGTTCTCTATACCTAGATTATATAATGCTGCTCTTATGGATATTATTGGTAACTTACATATGTTGCTTATTTTTCTATGAACACACTTTTTTTGCTGAAATGTTGGCAGCGCTTCATTAACAATGGCTGTGAATTTAAAACATCAAATATTATTTATTATCTAAGGTATAATTAAACACTTATAATCAAGTTCTTTGAAGCCTAAGTCAACCTCTGTTCTGGTGGTATAATGTTGGGAAACACTAACTGTAAGCCGTAATAGATTCTTCAGACCCCTGTTAAGCAGAATAATTATTGTATATTTGAAAATAACTGAAATAAGTAGAATTTGAATTTTCCTAACACAAAGAAACGATAAATGTTTGAGGTAACCAATACCTCTGTTACTGTGATATTTTGAAAACACATGCAATGCAAAATACAATGCAGATTGGATGCTTGTATCAAAATATCGCAAGTACTCCATAAATATGTATTACTATTATGTATCCATAATAATCAAAAATTAAAAAAACATAAACTGAGCTAGAATCATTATTCCCCTGCTACTTCCAGGTATGAAGACCTAATCTAAATGTCCAACACTGAGAGGAAAATCAGTGAAAATGGAACTGAATAGATAAACCTCATTTCCTTTTGGATTTTATTCTTTGTTTCTTTCTTTCACCACTCCCTCCAGGCCAATTCACCCTCAGCCAGTGTCAAATTAGTCTGGGAAGAAAATATGCAAGCAAAGGCTGCTGATCAGATTGTAAAGGGGAGGAGAACAGAATCCAGAGTGATGAGCCTGAGGTTTCAAGTCTGTGTTATCAGAGAAGAAAACCCAACTTTTGAACTCATCTTTTGCATTTTCATTGCACCACCTTCAGTCAAGCACTGAAACTTACAATTTTATGAAGGGGAAAGGAGAGTTAAATGAACTATGTGATTATAAAACTGCAAGTTGTAAGCACCGAAAGGCATAGAAAAGGACTCTGAGACCCAGAAAACTACTTGACTAGAGCAGTCAGATTCTGTTCATGTAGAGTATTGATGAAAGCAGACTGTGTGTACAAGTATATTTGTTTTATTTAGTTAGATTAAAAGGTTTACTTCCAGCATATTATCATAATAACCATGGAGAGTTATGGTGTGCTATTTTAGAATACATTGACATTTGCTAAGGTGCAGGAGGCACTGTTAGTGACACTATACTTTGGGTATAGGAGGGTGACCAGTGGGGTGTTCTGAACAGTCCTGCACCAGAACCATTCAGCAGAAGCAGAATGATAATAACTCCTAATGTGCCAATATTGGAACAGAGGAAGTTCAATTTGAAAGGAATTAAGTTAACGATGTATTGACTGAGAGAAATATTCAGTGTTAATTGGATGGCATTCCGAATGAGCCTGCTATGCAATACAGCTGTTTGTTAAAGGAGGGCTTTGGCCTAGATTTGTCCTTGCTCTGTCTGAAATTGCCATGGTGTTTTCACAGCAGATTCAAATGAAAGCCTAGTTAAGCAAATGGAACCTACACGTTGAATTACGTGCATGTATGTATGTACGTGTAAACATATACATGAGTTTGGTCTAATTTTCTTCACAGTTCCTTTCAATATGGCCATGGCAAAGAATATGATAAATGATAATTTGTGAACTCTATAGAAAATTTCTTGCATACTTTAATCTTGTGGAAATGCAAAGGAAAATATAATATTGGCAGTGAATATGATATTCTGTAATTCAGATAAACATTTCATGGGGTGATGATAAACTGGAATTCAGATGGTTGATATTGGCTGCTGGATTTTAAAAATAATTTAAACAAATATCTTTAAGAAGCAAAATTATTGTGTGCATGACAATATAATTTTTAACAGTTTTATTGAGGAATAATTTAGATGCATAAAATTCACCAGGTTTTAAGTGTGTATTTTTAGTACATTTACAGAGTTGTACAATCATCACCACAGTAAATTTTAAAACATTCCCATTACCAAAATAGGAAATAGGTTTATTTATTATAACAAAAATTTACTATGCAATTATTCAGTAAGTATATATATTATTTCCTTTAATAAGTAGAATTTATTAATCTCTAAATATATATAAAGTGATTTAGAATATATTTTATTGAAAATTTCTGATAAATATATGTATCTCACTAACATATATCTATGAGATAACCAATCTGCTAGGACACAAATTCCAACAATTTGTGTCTACTAGTGCCTGCTAATAGTGCTAGCAAAGAGAGTTAGTATACATATTAGCCAGGTTGATAAAAATTGAGTTAAAATTTTTCTCTAATCTGAAAATATAACAGAATCTAGTCTCAGAGACCATAATGTAAGTGTGGAAACAAGGATATAAGACATATTCAAAAAATAATTCACAATACAAAATAAGAAATGCAGCCGATATTTACTATTTATATTATTATTACTGTTGATAATTAATGATAGTTAAAGGTTCTATATGATGCAGAATATCATATAAGAGAACATTTAGTTTGAGCCATGTTAGAAAGGGAAAATTTATTGGAAAAAGATACTTTATATGAGAGAGCTTGTAGGCTGGGAAGAGCTCAATAAGTGACATAGAGGAACTATAAGAGCATTATAAATAAAGCCTAATAACATAAGCCAAACCACAATGATGAGAAGCTTAATGTTCCTGAAGGAAAGACTAGTTTAATTGGTTGGAAGGTACAGTGTAAGGAGGGGTTGGGGGCAGTTTCCTTCCTGGGTACAACTAACCTTAATACTCCAGTAACAAGTCTATGCTCAGCCTGTTGGAAATGGGAAAATTTAGCACATTTTTTTAGCAGGAGCTTATGGTTGAAGGGTTATTTCAACATTAATTTGATGACACATTCTTGGATTGATCAAAGAGAAAAATTAGTAAAAACAAAATTCCATATACATGAATGTTGTGGAAATCTGAGGGATATGGGCATAATTACAGTGATTGCTATAAAACAGAAAGGAAAGCATGAAAGAGAGAGACAGGAAATAAAAAGCTACAAGCTTTGGTGACTGAATAGATCTGGAAGGAAAAGTTGAAAAAAATAAGTAGAATGTCTAAGGCAGAGAACAAAAAATGCCAGATGTGGGTGAAATGTGCCAGGCTTGTTGGTGGCCGTGTTGGGGGAGGGTGTGTGCACTCTCCCTTCGATAAGAAGCCCCCTTCTTTCCTTAGTCTTATGTGCATATGTCCTCTGAAGGCCCTGAAGTTGGCATAGCTAGCTCTAAGGCTTCAGGCTTAGGTGATCAGAAAAGGCACCTAGTAATTTTGCACAGTTGAGGGGAGGGCATATGAAAAGCCATATGTTGTGTTGTCAAATGTTGGAAAAAAATCTTTAAAAACCAATTTACTTCTCATTTTATATGCTTGAGTCAATTCTGTTCTTTAATTATCTATGTCAACAAAAATAGGCGAGTGTTTCATTTTTATTTCAAGTCAGTTTCACTTTTTGTATTTTCATGCACAAACATGAAAAAGAGCAATTTATTGATTTTTTGGACAAATAACCCATACAACATATTATATTTTGTATCACTGCATATAGCACCTCTTTCTGCAGCTCTCGGGACTCTATGCAATTGACTCATTGCTTGGGCCAATGGCTCAGTCTATGCCTCTGAACTGAACTACCAGACTTTTTAAAATTACCTTTCAAATGAAAAGTACCATTTGAAAATTTTATTTATATTGAATCCTATGAAGTTCCTAATTGTGGGAGTTCCATAAAATCCAAACTTCATATCTGCAAGTTAGTACTTCAGTTTTTTCAAAGTGGTCTCACGCTTTGACTCTGGGCCAGCTCTTTTTCCTTACTTCTCCATACATGCAGGTTAGTGTATCATGAAAATTCATTTATTGACTTTTTTGAGATGGCGTCTCGCTCTGTCACCCAGGCTGGAGTGCAGTGGCACAATCTCGGCTCACTGGAACCTCTGCCTCCCGGTTCAAGCAATTCTCGCGCCTCAGCCTCCCGAGTAGCTGGGATTACAGATGCACACCACCACGCCCAGCTAATTTTTTTTTTTTTTTTTTTAGTATTTTAGTAGAGGTGGGGTTTCACCGTGTTGCCTAGGCCGGTCTCAAACTCCTGAGCTCAGGCAATACGCCCACCTTGGCTTCCCAGCATTTATTGTCTTTTAAAAATCATAGGCTTTCAGAGCTTTGAGAAAAGCTAAATGCATTCATTATCTATTATCTTAACCTGAGTAACCTGAGACTCAGAGGAAATCCAATGACTTACCCAAGATAAACACAGTAATATGAGCCAAGACTAAAATTTAGGACTCTTAGCTCTTTCTTTCTACACCAATCGACTAGACAGTTAAATTATTATGAATAATCATAATTTCTTACTTGCGTTTTCGGAGTTTATAATGCTGAAAATCCCAGCTCAACAACGTTGCCTTTTCAACTCCTCAGGAGGGTAAACAACCCCACAAGTTGATGGAGAACCCTGTCAAGTTCATGAACTGGAGCCACATCAGAGGAGTGAGCGCAGTGTGAGCTGTTCATGCGCATTTAGTCCCAGAACTCTGGGGAAACACGCATTTAGTCCCAGAACTCTGGGGAAACACGTTGAGTCCTTTGACACATTTTTGCTCCTTGGTTTATCATTATGTGCTCTTGGCCCAGTTACAGTGGATAATTCTTGAGGGCTATTATTAAGATATGAGCAAGGGAAAAAGAGATGCGTAAGTTCTGATTTTAGTATATAATGTAGGCTAGAGGAGCAGAAAGAGTCTAAATCAGCTCCATAGGGCTTGGGGTCGATGATATTATGATCATTAACATTTATTGAGCTGCTACTATTAACCATCAAGCACTGGTGCAGATGCTTTTCATGTAGTACTTAATTTAATCCTCACAGCACCCCTAAGTGATTCTCTCAGTCTAGTTTCCCTCAGATGACCATGAGACAAGTATTCGAGTACAAGCAGTTTATGTAAGTGATGATCTCAGGGAATACTGGGAGGAGCATAAGGAAGTGAGATAGAGAATGGAAAGATGCCAATAAAAGGTGCCTGATGCAACAAATTATGACATGGACAACTGGGGCTTACTCTGCTACACACGTGGTCAGAGCAGCTTCTGTAAATATAAAAGTATTCTCAAGTTTAAAAAGTGCATTTTAAAAAATCTTGTCAAATTTAGCTGGATTTCAATTGTGTAAAAATGCTAGAGGTGACAAGGAACGCTCACAAGTTTTGTTCAGACTTGCCCATTGTAGGAATGGCCCTGACTTTTGCATACATCAATCAGCTATGTTGGATCATGTATCTTTGCATTGGCGAGACAGACAGGTGCTCCTTAACCTAGGTCACTATTTAGTAATCATATACTTCTTTCCTCTTGGGTATCATCTGGACTGCTATGCAGGAAGGAGTACCAACAAATCTTTCCCAGAAGTAAAACTGAAACAAAGAGCCAGTTGTTTCTTGGAAGTGAATTTCAACGTGTGATACCTGTTTGGCTCACTTTCCAAGGTATGGGTGTTACACATGTGAGGAGGCGACTTAGGCTCGTGCTAGGTTTTATGATTTAGTAGTATAGTACAGTGATATTATTAGATCACCCACAGTTCCAACCCCCAAACTCAGTTGAGTGCACCCGTAAAACTGTTGAAATAACAATACACTGTTGTTTTCCAAGGCTTCCATAGCAAAATATCGTAGGCTGTGTGGCTTAAACAATAGAGATGTATTTTTGATAATTCTGGAGACTGAAAATCCAAAATCAGTGTGTGGGAAGGGTTGATTTCTCCTGCGACCCTGCTCCTTGGCTCACAGGGAGTTGCCTTCTTGCCATGTCCTCACATGACCTTTCCTCTGTGCACAACCATGGCCCTGGTGTCTCTTCGTCTTCTTATAAGGACACCATTCCTATTGGATGAAGGCCCTACCCTTCTGACCTCATTTAATCTTAATTAGTTTTGTAAAGGCCCTATCTCCAAATCCAGTCACATTGTGGATTAGGGTTTCAACATATTAATTTGCGGAGAACACGATTCATTCCACAAGTGCACCAAATCCCTCGTTATTCAAATGAACTTACAGAAAAATATGCATTACCCTTGCTGATGCTGTTCTCTCAGATAAGCTCTATGCTTTATCTCTGAATTTGTCACGCCCTGTTATAATGTGCATATACATTCCTATTCATAATTATCCTGTTATGTTGCCACAGCAGAAATCAGCATTTTGTAAAGGCAGGCGGGTGGGGGCGGGGGCGCTGTTAACCTCTGGGAAAAAAATAAGACTCAGTGGAATGCTTAAGTGTGCCAGGAAAGCAAATGCTATTAAATATTCTTAGACATACATGACTGTTCACCAATGGAGACCAATTTCAAATACGAAAATTAGTTAAGTTCTTGTACACTAGAGAAGAACACAAGGAATGGGAGAACTTCTGAATGATATAATCTGTTCCTGCTGATCCTTGAAATTCCCATTGCTGGGCCGGTCACAGTGGCTACTGCCTATAATCCAGCACACTGGAAGGCCAAGGGGAGTGGATTGCTTGAGTCCAGGAGTTCAAGACCAGCCTGGGAAACATGGTGAAACCTGATCTCTACAAAAAAAATACACATACACGCAAAATTAGCTGGGCATGGTGGTGCCCACCTGTATTCCTAGCTACGTGAAAAGCTGAAGTGATAGGATCTCTTGAGCCCGGGAAGTTGAGACTACAATGAGCCATGATTGTGCCACTGCACTCTAGCCTGGGGAACACAGTGAGACTCTGTCTCAAAATAAATAAATAATTAAAAAATAAAATAAAATCCCATTGGCTTCACAGAGAACTAGAGAGTTGAGTAATTACACTAAATTGTAGGCAATATTTTTTGTGATAATAATTAATACGATTATTCAAGTAACTGCTGTCAAACTTTAGAAGTATGGAGAGTAACAAGGAATATTAGGCACAAAATAAGAATTATGAAAATATGTCCAAGCTGATAAGAGTTGACTTCAATTTGCTTCATAAAGCTACCTGACCATGAAAGATACATTACAGTAGCCTGAGATTTGTTAATAAGTTTTTCTTGTTCAAGCCTGCTGAAGTATTTCAAGTTTTTAAATTTTATGCCAAGTAAAAATATGTTCACATGTATAAATATTTAGGACCTGAGTGATGGTGCTCTGGTGTTTTAGTTTCTAAGACATAGTTTTATTTCACTTCTGTGATGGTTAATTTTAGGTATCACCTTGACTGGGTTAAAGGAAACCCTGATAGCTGGTATACCATTGTTTTGGGGTAGGTCTGTGAGGGTGTTTCCAGGGAAGAGTGAATGAGTGGACTACATAAGGAAGTTCTGTCCTTACCCAGAGAGGGCATGAACCACCCAATCAGCCTAGCACCAGCATAGAACCAAAAGGCAGGGGAAAGGCGAATTGGCTCACATGATCTCTTTCCTCTGTGGATGAGTCTATCTTCTCCCGCTAGTCTATCTAGACTTCTCCCGATAGTCTATCTCTATCTTCTTGGATATCAGAACTCCATGTTCTCCAGCCTTCAGACTCCTGGACTTGCCCCAGTGGCTCCTTAGGTTTTCAGGCCTTTGGCCTTGGACTGAGAGTTTCACAGTCAGCTTCCCTGGTTCTGAGGGCTTCAGACTTGGACTGAGCCACACTACCCACTTTTCTGGTTCTCCAGCTTAAAGATGGCTGACTATGGGACTTCCCGGTCTCCATAACCATGGAAGCCAATTCTCTTAATGAATCCCCCTCTCATATGTCAGTATCTATGTATCTATACTAAATCTATCTATATCTATATTACATATATATAGAAACATACCCTACTTATTCTTTTTCTTTAGAGAACCCTAAAAATCTTCTAAGAAAATTATCTTGGAATTGAGCTTTATTAGAAAAGAAGAATGAGTATCTTATTGAATTATTCATGTAAATATTTACCAGTCATAATAAGACTGATATTTAGTTTACTTAAACTAAGTTTGTAATTAGATTTTCTCATAGAACATAATTTTTCTGTCCTGCTATTATCATTTATCACATGAGACACACCAGCCTATATAAACCTAAATAGACTGCATTTGAAGAACATAGGCTTAAAATTAAAATAGCATTTTTAAGCTGAGCATAACTTGGAGGTTATAATGTCTATCCTCTTTCAGAGGAGGCACTCTGCCCTTTTGTCTCCATTTCATAATTATAAACACCTTTAGTGTGATAAATGAGAAGTAACATTGGACAATCAGGAACACTGAAATCCAGCCCTGGCCTGTCTACTTAATGGCTTAGTGAACTTAAGTCAAAGTAAGCTCTAGCTCTACCATTAAGTAGGCATGAGTTCAAATCCAGGCTCTCCTGTTCATCAGTTTGGGACCTCAGGTAAGTTGTCGAATGAGGAATTGATTTCTTTGTATGTGCCTAACTTTGGTTAACATAAAGAAAGATATCGTATATCCCAACTTATGTTTTGAGGATTGTCCTCTGTAGAATATTCTTATGTTAATCTGCTCTATAAAAGATCACAGTTTCAAGGTTTGAACAGTAAAAATATTTATTTTTTAAACATTTCAATGAGTAAAGTAATTTTATACTATGTCCATGAGAGCCTAGAAGGAAAAGTGATCAATTTCTAATATTGCCGAATAAAGCCTCCTTGGGTCAGATAGAGTAGGTAAGACCATACCACACTACCCCACCTGTGGTAGGTAGTTTTGTGAGTCAGCTTGGCCAGACTATGGTACCCATTTAATCAGACACTAACCTGGATGTTGCTATGAAGATATTTTGTACAAGTCGTTAAAATCTACAATCAGTTGACTTTTTTTTTTTAAACAAAAAAGAAGATTAATAATCTGGGTGAATCCTATCCAATCAGTTCAAGGTCTTAAGAGCAAAACTGAGGTTTCCCTGAGGAAGAACTCACAGCTGTGCGCCACAGTGCCAACTGCTGCCTGGGAGTTTCCAGCCTACCAGCTTGCCCTGCAAATTTCAGACTTGCCAGCCACCACAGTTGTGTAAGCCAATTTCTTGAAATAAATCTCTTTATGTCCTACTTGATCATCCTATTGGTTTGGTTCTCACATAGAGCCCTGGCTAATACACCTCTGTGAACTGGGTTTTAGGGATACAAAAATTAATGAGAAGTAAATCCCAAATTCTGATAGTATTGGAGGAGAAGCCTGTGTGGAAAACTGAGCATGCTCTCAACAGGAACAGTTAGGGAGTGCGGGAGGCTGGGATTACTGGAGAAGAGTGAGAGGCTGCTGTAGTGAATAACTTATTTGTTCATGTAGTGAATTAAGTAGTGTCCCCCGAAATCCATGTCTACTTAGAACCTCAGAATGTGATCTTATTTGGAAGTAGGGTCTTTACAGGCATTATTAGTTAACAATCTTGAGTTGAAACCATCCTTGATTTAGCCTGGGCCCTAAATCCAACGACTAGTATCCTTTTAAGGAGAGAAGAAGACACAGAGATATAGAAGGAAGCCAATGCAAAGATGGAGGCCGATATTGGAATTTTGCTGCCACAA